TGAGGGTGTTAGAGGGAATGCAATGGGGGAAGCTCTTGGGGGCACTGGACAGGAGTTTGCATTTGGAGGCTGTGATATATGTGGCAGGGACAGATAAGATTGGGCACAGTCTTATATTTGTGCGATGGTTTGTCTTGATCTAGGGCATTTTCTGCTCCACCTTGTGGTCTGAAGTTTGGTGTCTCTGGTCTGAATGTTATGACTAATAGTGACAAAAGTGATAAAGGACATGCTTGGGGTCATATTGAACATTAGAGGCTCAGTCAGGAATAAAACTCAGACCTCTTCAGCCCCATCTAAATGCCAAGACAAATAGGTACTGGAGGATGCAAGTGGCTCCTGGTAAACATCACCCTCATGATATTCTCATAGGACTTGAGCGGTCACCTATCAATTAGATTAGAAAATGTACAGAAACAGATCTGCAGGTAGCACCCATCAGGAAAGCCAGGTTCTTTTGACTTGATTTAGCTGTCAAAATTTGACACCAGCCTATACTAACTGAGGATTTGGTCCCCTATTCTTGGCAAGTGATTTACAATGGAAGAATGTGCATACACTTAGGCAGCTTGCTCTTTTTTTATTTTAAGATAGTGATTCATTCCAGATTGGTAATTACGTTTAGTTCTTTCAGTGATAGAAATGGCTGTGACAGCTGCAAATCATAATAATGTGCATTTGTGTACATTTTTGCCTACAGGGTTGCACATTTTTGCTATTGTAGCTAAGAGTACAGTCAATGACTTCTGAATATTACACTGTATCTTGAAATTGTTCTTGCAAACAGCCAGTGCTTGCATTGTCAGGAGAGCTGTGCTCTGCTAAAGACACCTTCACCTCCCTCCCAGAAAGACCTGTCTCCAGATAGGAACATCTCCACCTAGGATGTTGCTCAGATCAAGCCCCAGGTTAACCCATGGGCTACAAACCCAGAATTAAGTGGTTATTTCTTCTGATGTGCTGCCTTTATGCTGCAGTGCATGACCAACACTGCTCTGTCCAGAGTGCAGGATGGAGACTGGGGAAAGGATGAGAGAGTTACTAGCAACTGAGTATTATAATCCAAATCTTCCCAGGAGTGGTGGCAGTTTGCTAAGTGAAAGCAAAATAAATAGTCTTGGACAGTGCATCCTGCTGGGGCAGTTTGTCTGAGCTGGGAGCACCAGCTAACCAGGATAGTATTCTCAGCTGGGGCAAGGAAAAGTTTGGAGCAGCTCCTGAGCTAGGGCTTTTGCTAATCCTGATGTGATGTCTGAAGGAGTCCACCCCCCTTCTCAAACATATGCTGCAAGGCTTGAGTTTGCATTTGGATGGTAATCACAAGTAGAAATGTCATCAAAATGTTGCTTTAGTTCTGGAAATTCAGCATAATTCAAAGCCAGTTTTATGATGCTGCCAGCCCCATTTCCATTGATGGAAATTAAGGTTTCCCGAAAACCAATTCAAGGAGGGACAGCGTGCCAGTTTTAGTCCTCCTAGGTGGTGACACTGGTTGCTGAGTCTAGTATCTGATCATGCATCAGAGATTCTCCCCAGCTTCACATTTGGCTCTGGTGACTGATGGCCACATCCTTGAACCCCACATAACCCAGTCTGCTAGTCTCGGATAGATCCGCATGATAAAATCCAGCTTCAGTGGGATTTATTTTCATCCCTCTAATGAAAGTGTTTTGATTCAGTTTGTAGCATGGTTTAGAAAGCAGGAAATTTAAAACCAGCTCAATGTGCCGTAGGCTTGAACGCAGTGATTTGCTGTCAGCCCACCCAACTGGGGTACAGGCTGGTGAGTGATGGAAAAGGCAGTTTGGGGGATTCAGAAAAATTGTCCTGACTACACCAACGATTCACTCCTCAAAGAGCAGAGAGACATCTACAGTACCTCTCTCTGACTGAGTGGAAGCCTATCAAGCAATTCAGTAATCCCAAAAACTTGACTACTAAAGGTTCATAAAATACAATTAAAATGTAGCATTATGGTAAGAGAAAAATCATCAGATATGATTGCTTGAATAGGAAAACTGCAGCATTTACAGTATATATCAAACAACCTGGTATTTTTAAAAATTTGTATCATCTAATATATTCATCAGACTTCCCTATTCATGCCCTACATGTTACTCTTAAAGAATTAGCCTCAAGTTGTAATGCTGGGGGCATAAAGCTGAGTCACAGAGCTGAGCCGTGGTAGATGAAGGAGGATGTATAGAGGCTGAGTCTTCGAATGGACATCTACGTATGCATTAGACATGGACACGGCTGCTGGTGTTGGGATGTTGGAGAGCTAAACCCAGCCTTCTTGACAAACAAGAGACATCTCCTAACTTGGGAATTATTTTTTGAACATGTCCTGCTAGACCTGATGGTGCACAGTGAACTGTTAGAGAAGACAAGCGAGAACACTCCTGACTTGCTTGGTCACAGACAGGTAGGAGAGCACGGCACAAATCCTGCTCTGCATCTGCCAGAAGGATTTGGATCTGAGTCCAAAACTGTGGGAACCATGAGGCTGTTAACTGTAAATCAAGGGGTGAGATTACCTGGTGGGGAGCACGTCCTCCTGTTTCTGCTGGAGTGAGAAAGGTTGTATTCAGGCCCTCCACAAAAGGATCTGCTGCTGTGGATTTCAGCTGCTGTCAGGTACCTCCCTCCAGCCCAGAATTAAGCACTTTGGCTCCCTGAGGAGGACAGTGGTGTCATCACACCATGGCCACCAGTAAATCCTATGGCTAGCACAGGCAGCTCCCTTCCCAGCAAAACTGCACCATGGCCCTTGTTTTAAGGTGGCCAAGGCTTTCAGCACCTCGTGCTTTTTCTTGGGGTAAACACATCCCTTACCTCATTATGGACAGGGGGGAAAAGATGGTATGAGCATATCTTACTCTCCCATGCCTTTGCCCCCCATCTCCCGGCCCGTTATCGCTACTGGTAAATGTGAAATAGTTTTTGAAATCCTGTTTTTTCCTGTCAGAGCATCAGCTGAATTTAGATGGAGTTTATAAAGCTAACAGGAGCACTGGTTTTAATTTTAAGGGAGAAAAAACAACTCTCCTAAGTTTGAATTTGTTTTCCAACTTCCAAGACAGCGACCACATCCTCCCTGTTTTACAGCTTCTCCTTATCTGACAGACAGGGTCATGCTGCTGGAATAAAACAATATACTTTCAATGCAGAGGTCTCACATGTTTATTGGGAACAGCTATATCCCTAGCCTGCTCAAAGTGTTTCTGAAAACATCTCTTTTTTTAGAGTTTCTTTGATGGCTGGAATTGGGGTTGGGTCCCTTACTTCTTCAGAGAAAAGTGACCTTTAAGTCTCCAATTTTGAAAGCTGTTCCAAACCATGGAACACCGAGTGCCAAAACCTTTTCACATTCAAATCTCTTTCAAGCAGAACAGGGAGAGGAAGACCAGAGTTAGTGCACTCAGATGACCTCATTTGCCACATCAGAGCACAGAGCATTTATTCTATAAAGAGCATCAGTATGTGTGCAGTATCCAGGATGTCTTGTTAGCCAGTTTTTTCAATATTATTACTAGTAAGCCAGCTTTTATATGGTATGGTTTGGCTGGGAACAAATGTATAAATTCTACAAAATGTAAAATTTTGAGGTCCCGATCAGCAAAGCCACTTTAGCACAAATGTAGGTTTAAGTACAGAAATATGGAGATCATCAAAATTTTCCACAAAAGATGTTTTCCAGTGGAAAATTAGCTGTTAGGTATTTTGGACCAAGGGTTTGGTTTTTTGTTTGTTTGGGTTTTTTTTTTTTTTTGAATTAATTTATTTGTGAAAGTTCTGCTTTTTGAGTAAAATGCCAAGTATTCCTTCATAATTCAAATACTTACTTTGAAAATAAAATGTTTAGATTCAGTCTGATTTCTACAGCAAATGATGGGAGTTTCAGATCCCTTTATATCCCCATTTTCTTTCATGGGCTCGGCCAAGTTTTATCTCCCAGAACACAAGTGGTTTTTCACATCATTCGAGAAGACTGGTGCATTACAGAAAAGAGAATCTGAGAGAGTCTGGTTGATTAAGGCAAATATGAGTATAAGGCACTTAAATGGCAATTCCTGCAGGGTAGCACATCAATATTTCTAACTTTAAAATAATAAAAAAAAAAAAAAGGATGAAAAAATAACAGCTTTCAGCTGCAGAAAAATTTGCCCTTTATTGAGAAAAGTTTAAACTTTTCTGTGGAATATACTAATGAAAACAGCATTGCTTTAATTTTTTTTAAAGCTCCCAAGAGAAAAAAGAAAACATTTCTGAAAAATTTCTGAAGAATCAACTTATGAAGAAAGTCAAACTGGATCAAAGAAGAGGGGTTATTTCTGGGTAAGTCAAATGAAACAATTTTCAAACTATGTGTCAAGCAGCAGCTTTGTCTCATAAAGTCACTCTAGCAGAAGCATCTCACAAGAAATACACTTTTCTAACCCCTGAACAGTGCAAGCTCAGCATCAAGAGTGTCAACCTAAGTGAGGAAGGCTTAACTATGTGTAAGAGTAGCAATTCCTCATAAAATATTGGATCATGTGCTTCAGAACCATCAATGTTCATGTCTCTGAGACTGCAGGACTATTCAATATAGCCATGTGTTAGCCTCCTGGTTTCAAAGAATAGGGCATACTATGAATAAATCGATACCTGGGTGGGATGGGTCTGTACTATGGGAGCTGTTACAGCAAGAGACATCTCACATGTAGTTAAATGCTGGCAGGCAGCTCAGTCCTGACCAGGATGCTGTAATAGAGACAGTGCCATCTGCCAGGACTTGCACTGTGTGTGTCAGGCCTCAGAAGAGGAGGATGTGGCTGAGAAACCTGGATTTTCTAATTATTTAAGTCTTAACTCAGCCCTTATACACATGCATTGCTCTGCAAAGCATTTCACTCACCAACAGGGCTCATTTTGGTGCAGAGCTCTGAAAAGGTTTGATTCACTTCATGCTGCCCTGAAACATATAACTAAGGATAGATAATGCCATCACCTTTTACCTGCAGCTGTCCAGAGGTTTCTGTGGGATCTCTAACCCTGTATTGGCAAACAGTGCACAGCAACGCCCTCTGTACATGAGAGACCTCGTGGTTCACCTGGGAACAAAAGCACAAAAGCAGAAATAGTGGCAGTGCCTTATATGGGTACTTTAAAGCTAAAGGCTGTATCTGACCATAAATCACTGCTTTGCTTGGTCAGGAGAAACCCTAGCACAAGGCACTAAGAAAAGCAAGGAGAAGGATCAGCACCCACTTGTACTTCAGAAGAGGAAACAGATATGGATGGAGACACTTTTTGTGGAAAGCTGCGTTAGTGGGTTTGCACTGGGACAAGCATAGGGAGGATCAGTTCTATTCCAGCAGCCTGCATTCCCCAGTTGTCTCTGAGGAAGGGGCAGGGCAGATGGCAAACATTTCCCTCTAGGGACAAGCAAAATCCTGGCTACCCCTCACTCTTAATGCAGGATTTCCACTGTGTTTGAAACTTTACGATGATTTTCCCCTGTTTCTACCAACCCCATGACTCAGGACTTAGCAAATAGAGACAATAGTAAACTATGGCACCAATGTCTGGGATTGTACAGCTGGCAAACTGGGTGAAAATTGTTTTAGGGGATGCAAGTACTGCTGGAAGAGTTTTCCTTTAATGTAGGAACATCTCACTCCCAGGACACACTTGCAAGGTGCTCAGCAACGCCCACTGAGCTACCCAGGGTGGTGGAGAGGCAGTGTGTCTGACATGAGGTCAAAAGGACACGGTTCCGCACTGTTCAAGTGGATAATGCAGCATTTTGCTTTTTCTTTTTTCATGTTTCAGGCTGGGAGAAAAAAAGGTTTTCCAGTACCTAGTAATATTTGGAGCCTGCTGCCCTATAAGCAGATGCACTGTACGGCTTTCCTGCTCTTCTGCCAGGGAGCAGATTTACAGTAAGAAACTGAATTTTCTAGAATAGTTGATATTTATCCCAAGCAATGCTATACTGTCCTCTCCTCTAAAAGTCTAGGACACCTTATCTAACCCAAACTCCCACTCCATGGGGACAGAAGAGACAATGCTGTCTTTTACTGGTTGCATCTTACTTTGCTGTAAACTGATTACATGGTGTCTTAATCCTCACACTTCTTTCTACTGTAACTATTGTGCTGGCACAAAACACTTGATTTAATCACATCATGGAACACAGATATGCGTAAGAAAAGTTCTTCATCCCGCCAGCAACACAGGTGTAATGGGAACAGCAGACAGCCCCTCAGACTAAATAAGAGCACTCACTGCCTCGTCTCTACCTTGGAGATTGCTGGGATATGTGAAAAAAAAAAAAAAAAAAAATCAACCAACAAAAAGCAGAATGCCAGGACCAAAAATACCCCACACCTTGTTCCCATGGTGTATAATGTACCTAACAACTAGCTCTTTCAGAGAACAGACATTCAAATAAAAAACCCTCATCAGCTTTGCTGGCACTGAATGCAGTGTTTTCCAAGTATCGCTGATAGCCGGCTGACATTTTAGCTCTTTGTGCTTCTGAGAGAGGAAACACTAGACTCTTTTTTCTTTTAATTGGCACTGCTGAAAGTTTATTTTGTTGTTGTTATCACTTTCTGCTAAGTATCAAGCAAAAGGACACAGAGACAAACAGAGGGTCTCCTGGAGAGAAGTGAGTACCTCAAATACCTTCCTCTTCTGGTGCTTTGAACCAAACTGAGCAGGGGGCAAGGGGAGTTGCAGTGAGGAGAGACTGGGGAGATCACTAAATCCTCTGGGAGCTGGCAGTCATCTCCCAGGGTCACAGTGTCTCCAGGCCCCCTACCACATCCATTTCACAGGGATCACAGTGTCCATGGACCGCACTCTTCTCCCTCCCCTTCCAAATGATGAATGGAAGAGACAGCAACCTTAAGGATGGAGGTGGTGACACATCTGCCACTCCGTAGGTGCCTTGCTGCACAGGTGGCATGTTCCCAGGGGAGCCACTCTGGAGCCGTGGGAAGGGCAGGGGGAGAGGGAGTGCTGGGGCAGGAATGGAAATGGCAGTGGGAAGGTGACCATCCCCTTGCAGGTTGACACCATCCTACCTTCAGCAGGAAGACAATCTTACCCATGCACATTTGCTGCAGGCCAAAGAACTTATGGGTATGTATTTTTATGTATTTGTTCTCAGCACCATTCAACTAGCCAACAATCTTCAAAACAGGAGCAAGAGTGAAAAATCACGCTCCTCTAATACATCTAATTCAGGTGACAGGCTAGATTAACCCCTAAAGCTTTTGGAGAAGCATTTTCTTCGCTTCTTGGACTATACAGGGAGACCTATTTTCAGTTCCCAAGTGCATCAGGTTAGATCCAGGCCTTGGATTCCAGTTTGGCTGAGCACTTTGGCATGTGCCATGTTTTAAGTACGTGCTTGAGGCCCTTCAAAGTTCATGGCACTTAATTGTGTATCCAGAGGTAAGTGGATACTTAAGGATTTTGCTAGATCAAAGCCCCAGTGTTGGGAGCAGACAGCTATAAATCTGAGATGCTCTCAGGGAAGAAACTTCCTCTCTTACTCTCTCCCAGGGAAGGCAGTCTCAGAAGAAAAGTTGTGTTTACTCAATTTCTCTATCAGTCTTCTGTCTCAGCTTCATCTGGGACCATCCTCAGGGGTGTATGACTATCCCTAAGGCACACAGACAACATGACCAATAAGGAAGCCTGACTGATTCTCAGGGGAGATGGGGGGAGCAGAATAAAAGCAGAGAACAAATTATGAGCATTTGGGCACATAAAAATAATATCTAAGAAAAAACAGTTTGTTTCCACAGAGAGGAGATTCACTTTTACTTCTGGAATTAATTTTAATGTAATATGTGTTCACTTATTTATTTAGCATTACAATAGTAGCCTGGTGATAAAGATTTTTAGCGTTACCTAGGGTTTTGATTTACACAAGTTTCCTTATCAATATTTTTCTCAGAATCAGTATGATATAGTAAACTCTACTAAATGTTATCCTTTTTAATTTAAAAAGGAGACATCTCCTAGGTCAAAATTATTTACAGGGGAAGGAGATAAAAGGGAGCTTTAGGGATTTCTTTATTCTATCAAGGACAAAACAAGGAGGGAGTCAGAATAGGACTGAGGCAAATAATTGAGATTGCAAAGAAATACATTGCCTCTGTGCTCTGTAAGGTCCCTGTTCAGCAACTATTGCAGTATGTGCATAAACCTCAGTGCCCTGCCAAAAGGGTCCTCCATGGAGATTAGATGGTCTTTGCAAAGATCCTCTGGTTCAGATTTTCGTAGTGTTTGCTTCTGTGGTCCAAAAGAATAGCACACAAACATGCATACACAAAACCACCAGGAGTCAATGGGTTAAATTCTCAGACTTGTTTTATGTGGGAGATCAGTTCCCTACCTTCTGGAAGTGCCTTCCTCTCTCCATCCACACCAAGGGGAGCTTAGGTTAAGTTTCTTTTTTTAAAGTAGCAAACAATAAAAACAAAACAGACCACCATGACCCATAGGAAATCTTGCAATATCTTCTGTTCCCCCAACTCCTAGGTAGGAGTTCCCATTAGAGCTGGATTAAGCTAAATCAGATTATGCACCACAGACAATAGTGTCAGCAAGCTGCGGACAAAAGGTGTCAAGGCAAATCTCTCCTCAGACCAACTAATATTGTAGTGCAGCAGAACTGTGGAACAAGTCCCCTAAATCAATGCTTTTCTTGTGGGCAGGCTGTAGTATAAGAGAACAGAAGCTGGCTGTGCATATTTTGTGTTAATTGAAATAAACTTTTGCCAACACACTTAGATCTGTCTCAGGTGAAAATGAAAGGCAAGTGCCAGCTGTATCAGCCAGTATCTTTCCCTGGTTATTTCCCTTTATTCCTTTATTATTTCATTTATTCTATCTTCTGTTGTCAGTCATGAAGCAAAGCTGCAGGGCAAATACACATTTTGGGCAAAGTACTACATTTGGCCAAGCCTCACTAAGACTGTACCCAGCCTTTCAAGTCTCATCAGACTGGTGCTGGCATTATAATGCCTGGATGTGCAGTTGCAAACCAGCAGGAGCAATGCAGGAGGAGCATTTCAAGTCCCCTCTGTGAAGGGCTCTGTGGGATTTGGTGGTGCTGCAGCAGTTTGAAACACCCATTACTGGAGATTTTCCATGTGTGTGCGTATATAAGTGTGCAGTCTGTGAGCATAGTCTTCCTTCTGAAGAACCTTAGGTAATTGCAGAAAGTATGAAGATTCACAGGCCTTTCTGAATTAAAGATTCTATTTTTTTTTTTTCCCCCTTAAAGCATAGCTGTGGATTTAGTAATTTATAGTTTCACGTTAAGATAGTCATGAACTATCCAGACTGGTTTTTATGACTAAAGTCATTTATACATGTTTCCCCACTTTAAATCTTCCTCCCTCTAACAAATGACACTTCTGAGCAGGCAGAGGCTACTAGATTAAGCAGTTGAAAACTGTGGTCTTTAGCAGTGCCTTGAATACAAAATCCCACTTGATTTAGATGCTTACAGTTTCCTAGTCATAACTGTTAGCATAAGAGTAGTTACTTTAGACTAACCCTCTCTTTAATAGAAGATGCCCTTATTAAGGCATTTGGAAGCCAGTACAGTCTTTTCTGTCCTCTCTCAGCTTTTGTACAGCTAAATGCTGACCTACATTATGTCACCTAACATTGAATTTGATGTAGACCAGGGTGAAATCTATCTTATCGCCTGTTTTATAAACACAGAAGGCCCGAGAGCATTTTCCCCTCTCAAACCTGGGCTGATGTCACTGTATGGTGTGTGTATTACTCATGTCAGAGGCTTCTGCAAAATTTAATGCCCAAGAAAACTACAGGGCAAACTCTACCAGCCACTGAATCTGTCCTTTGCTGGGCAGTGCTAACAAAGTTCACAAGTAAAATGGAAAGACCGTTATCATTATCACTACAACAATGCAATCAATACTCAGTGGAAAATTTGCCCTCCCTCTTGGATACTTGTATTATTAAAAAAAAAAAAAATCAACACAATATTTTGCAGTAGAGCAGCTTTATATATGCCAGACCAAATAGGATTCACATACAATATATTTTTATTAACAGATGCCATATTTTAGTTGCTTCTGGAATAATGATGAGATATATCTAACCCTTCAGAGGCAAAACAACTGTGAACTAAAATGGCTGAAATAACTTGGCAAAGTTTTCTTCACTTCTCTTTCTGAGATGGAAGGAGGTAAATATGTCATAGAGGAGACAAGGATATGGTCCTGCAAACCCATAGGGTGTATTCCTGGAGATCCCCACACTCAAAAGGCCAATGGATGACAGGTCTTCAGAGGTGGCTGAGAAAACATTTTTCACAGTTACTGCTCACAGGTTTGGCTCAAGCTGACATAACCAGAGCCATGGGTGCTTAGCAAGGTATGCAGCACAGGCTGGCTAAGCCTCGTCTGTTCCCAGTGTTCAGAGACTGCTCTAGCAACTGATGGCAAATGCTTAGGTCATCATCAGGAGGACACCTTGGCAATGTCCATGCAAAGGAACTATCTCACCCATAGGCTTTTCCCTCTGGATGTAGCTGGAGGCCTGCAGGAGCAGCATGGAAAACTCAATATGTTGAATTTTCTGATCTCCCCCAGGTAGTCAGAACAGCATTACTGAAGAAGTATATGGACTAAAACCAAAATACAACAAAACAAAAACATTTATGTCCCAATCCAGCAAAGTTACATATCTAGTTACTTGTCCAAGGAAGGCTGTCCCAGTAATCTCAGCTATACCCTTAGTCTGTGCAGACTGTGACAGTGGAGGGCTGTGCCCTACCACCAGTGCAGTGTGGGGCAGAGGCAAATGGATCCCACCCAAGGAGCTAAATGAGGGCTGTTGCCAGCCCAGTGTCTCCTGTCTCCGGCTTGGTGTTGGACTTCTTGAGTTCCTCTAAACAGCCCCACCACCTATGTCCCTGACCCAGGAGGTCCTCCTAGTTTGGACATTCCCACCACAGGAGCCCTCTGTGCCTTAATGCAAAGTACTTCACTTTGGAAAAGAAAACACTACATTTTTTTCATCGTTATTTACTCTGAAACATGTGCTTTGGCAAGGATATCCTTTTTATTTCTGTGAAATCCAACTGAAGAAACAGAAGATAAATGAGTATGTCTAATACTGCAGCACAGTTTAGAAATATGGTCCAGTCTACCCTCTGATGCAAGACTGCACCATTTTTAAACCTTGGCTAGAGTTGCTATATTGTCAAATACACATACACAAAGGTCATTAGAGTTCATTCTGATTTTTTTCTTTTTCCTAGCAGCTATTTAGATTGGTGCTTGAAAAAAAGTTTACTGCTTTATGCTCAAATTATATTTACATTTGAGCATAGAATTTCAGCATGGGCAGAGGAGGAGAGCATATTTTCTTCATTGCCAGCCGTTGATGGTTTTTCAAAATGCTTATTTCTCAGAAAATTTCCCCAAACTTTCCATTGTGATCAAGGGACACTTATCTTAAACCACTTAGGAGTTGACATGACTGCACAGTAGGTCACTCTGACCACATAAGAATATGTAGCCAGCAAGGGGGAGGATTATGACTCCATCTTCAGTACTCCTGACATGTCGGCCCCAAGAGCTGTGACTGTATAAGCTGTCCTTCAGTGTATTTACATTCCTGAAAATGCAGGCAGTTCAGGATGTGTTTTAAGCAATTTGTTGGAATCCAGTAAAAGGAAAATCTTCTAACGGATCTGCTGCAGTAATTCCTATTTATTTTATCTTCCATTTTCTTTTTCTTTGCAGAATCGTGAATGTTGATGTTGAGACAGAAACAGGACTTTATTGGGACTGCCAGTGGTTCAAAGATGAAAAGGCCTCAAGAGGCTTTTTGTTATCAAATTCCACTTACCCTCCCCGTTGTAACTTTCATCACAGTTGAAGGGACTGTGCCAAAATCTGACTTCACTTCAGAAAGTGCCAGGATACACCACTGGAGTTGCAACAGAAGAAAGAAAGCGGGAAGGAGACAAAATTCAATGCAGGCCTCCCTGTGGCCTGGGAGAAGGGGAAAAGACTGAGGGAGAAATAAAATGGTTTAGTGTTGCTTCCCAAACCTTCCCCAAAGTTGCTAGGCAGGTGGGGGAGATGAGGCCAGCCCCTCTCTTTCCAACAAGTGCTTTTCAGACAATTTTCCTGCCAAATGGGGAAAAAGGAAGAGTTCCCACCAAATCACTGCGAAGTCTGCCCTCTGTTTCCTGCCAGCTCTCTTCTTTTCTCTAAAGCAGATGAGAAATTTCAGCCCAACAGCAGCTTAGTAGGTAGCATCTTGCTATTTCCCTGAGCATCCCAGAGATGAACAAATCTCATTTTTCTTTGCCTCACTTTCAGCCCAGTCCCAGTGATCATGTGTTGCTGTTTGGAGAACAAACTTTTGGGGCCTGGGACCACTCTTTGCCATGTGTTTGACAAATGTGTAGAGCAATAACAACCTCCCAAGTCTATATTTGCATGTAGCTACTGATGGCTAACAATGATGCTAATAATAATATCTGCATGACCAGTTTATAAGCCAACACGTTCAAGACTGACAAGAAAGTTTTGTTGCCTCCAGTCTTGGGTGCCAATAGGGGATCCTTCAGAAGGTCTGGTTTTCCAAGTGTAGATGCTCACCATTATTTTAAGGTCAGACTCTTCTTGCTCTCCACTTAAGTTCTGCCCAACATGGAGCATCTCAGATTACTAATAATTTTAGAAAACCATGCCTTATTGTGTTTATTCCTCAGTTTTTCCCTATTGTGCAATGGAAATAAGACTGCTTACTCCACCATGATTTCTCAAAGTACTTTCAGTGACTCCAGCAAAGGCCATTTGCGAACAAAACATTATTAATATTGTGAAATGATGAATAATCAACACGTGCCAGCTGTTACCACATAAACTTGTGTCCTTGGGCCCCTTTACACTTGATAGATCTGTCAAGTTAAAGGTGGGGTGAATTCAGAGGGCAATAGTTACTGAATAACACATAGGTGAAGACTCTTATTTGGTAAAAAGACATTTTAGATTAGTCCACCAGCAGAAGTTCCTGGTAACTAGGAATAACAATTCCACACGTGGAGTTACTCAGGGATACTTATTTTGGGAACAACTACTCCTTCAGAGCTATTCTGGAATAACTTTGTGTCTACAGCAGGGGGAAGCCCCCAATTAATGTAAGACAGCACAGGGTAGAGCATCCTGAAAACAGCTATCTTGCAGGCGTCCAGCCAGTAGTGAACATTGTGCTCCATTTAACTGAAAATAAGCCTATTCTTTTCTATTGAAAAATCATGGGAAATTTTGCAAGAGATTTTCTGCTTCTGTTTTGGATTCTATAAGAATAGAGATAGAACAAAAGTGCATCTCTCCTGGTGTTGTACTTCAGAGGTGGCCAGAAGCACACGTCAAGAGAAGGACCCTCAAGCAGACGAGCATGACACCTCCTGTGGCCCTTGCCTGAAGATCCTGCTGGCCATAGCTCAGGGATTTCTTGCTCTTTT